CTTGGGGCGCTCGAGCGGCGCCTGGTTGACCTTTCGGAGGGGTCTTCACACGCCTGCAGCTGTGAACGGCGTCTCTTTACCCCTGAAGGCGGTGACCAGGTCGCCCCTTCGACGGGTTGCCCCGAGGGGCGCACAAGAGGGCACGTCCACCTGCCGACGCGCGTCAAGCGTCCCCCCTACCCCTCGGGGGGGGGGGGCGCCCTCCCCTGAACCGTCCCTGGACCTTCCCGTAGGCGCGTCACGCTGCCCGCCGCCGCGTGGGGCGCGCGGTCGGCCTTCGTCGTCGGCCGCGGCGCGGCGGCCGACGGGCGGGTCGACATGTCCAGGACGCGTCCCGGACATGTCCGCGACATGTCTCCCGTAGGCGCCGCGGCCGACGTGCAGATCGACTCGGTCGCCTTCCCGGCGATGGTGTCGCGCAAGCACTGCCGCCTCCGGCGCGACGCCGACGGCGCCTTCTTCGTGGACGACCTCGGCGCGGCCAACGGCACCACCCTCAACGGCCGCCGCGTGCGGCAGCGCACCGGCTCGCACGGCGGCGCGGCGGCGGGCGGCGCGCGGCTGGCGGACGGCGACACGCTACTGTTCGGCGCGTGCGACGGCGAGACGCGCTCCGAGGCGTGCTACTGCGTGCTGCTCGCCGAGTAGCGTGAGACTGGGCGGGCGGACACACTCTCTAGTCAACATTCCACACTACCACGCGCCATGCGTCAACCTGTCAGTGTTGACGTCTGGCGAGGGGGAGTGCGGCGAGACTTGTGTTGATTGATTGATGGGAAGGCGAAACACAGTCCGACCAACGACTGGGACACCAACGCGGTATGGGTGGACGCAGGACGGGCGATGACGGTCACACAACACTTGTGTGGCGTTTAAAAAAGAAAATGATTAAAAAAAGAAAATGATGAGAGCGCGGCGGGCACCGCGCGCGGGCCGTGGGGCGTGGGGCTGGCTCGGGGTAAAATGCCCTACTCGCTGCAGCTCTGCAGCATGGACGGTGGTGCCTGCGTCTCGGGCACGTGGCCTGACCAGCGGCTCGATGTCATCGCGGGAGGCAGCGTCAACGGAGCCATCATCGACCAGCGGTGCGTTGCCACGAGGTCGGTTCTGTCTGAGCTCGGCGGTGAGCCCGCAGGGCCGGAGCGGTGCCCCATTTCGTCCTTTACTGCTATCCTTAATGGCCCGGCACGGTGCGGGAGCACTGGCGTGGTTCCCTCATCCGTCGACCTCATCCGCTCAGTCAGACTCCGTTGCCTCGCAGAATATACCCGTGGGTGGTGCCACGGCTCGGCTCCCACGGGATTTATGACTTCACCACTCCACTGCTGGATGCGGGGCTGTACGAGCTTGACATCAGGCTTGACTTCACCGACGACCAAGGCGACTGCCGGTGCGGGCCCAACACGACCAAGATCCTCTTTCGGCACCTCCTCAACGGTCAGAGTGTCCCTGTACCCCTGTTCGCTTGGAGGCCGCCATGCCGCCGAAAACGCCGCAATCCTGTAGGTTCGGCTCGCGTCTCGGTGAGGGTCCTTCCTGGCAGGCCGATGACTACTGATCGGTTGGCTGGGGTGGGCGGAAGGTGGTGTTTGTTATCCCCCCCCCCCCCCCCAAATGAACACACCAGCGAGAGCCGAGAGAGGGCGAGACGATCGAGGGGTCCCGTACCATGCGGAATCGACCCTATCCAGTGCTCAAGTGCTCAATTATTTTCTCCAATTATTTTATGAGCTTAGCCTTCGATGTTATGAAACAAACGCAAGGCGGACATGGGTCATGGCATATCGCTCTCGGGCCCACAGACATCCCGCACACCCGCCGCCCCCGCGCGCGCCCAGCACCGCCACCGTCTGAGCAGAATGGGTCTGCGGCGCCACCCTCGCCGACGCCGTCGCCGCCCTACCCTCCAGCCGTGCCCGACTACCCTGAGTCGGCACTGATCCAGACCGTCTCCATCACCCTCAAGGTGCTCGAGTTGTGCAGCGAGGAGCTCACCGACGCGATTGCGGAGAGGGCGGCACGCAGCGTAAGTGTGCCTCTGAACAGGAGCACTGCAAGCTGCTCGTCGAGCCAGCGCCGGCGCCGGCGCCGGCTGCAGGCTACCTCCACCATCGCAATTGAGCTCACGACCACGAGTGCGAACCATGACGCCGTCTCTGCCGCCGCCGAGACCGCCTTTGCCTCATCGGAGGCGCGCACCTCCGCAGTGAGACGAAAGCGGCTCCAAACCACGGAACCCCCTATCCTCCTCAGCCCCCCCGCAAATCGGTCAGGCGGCGTCGAGCACCATTGGCCTGACCGTCGTCGGCGCGCCAGCCATCGACGTCGGCGGCGGCAGCAAGGGCGATCCGCATCTCCACTTTGCGCGCGGCGGCCGCGCAGACTTCCGGGGCGGGGATGGGAGGCTGTATGCTTTCTTCTCCGCACCGGGGCTGGCCGTCAACGTGCGGACCGAAGACGCCTCGTTCAGGCTGCACCGCGGCCGGCTGAGGGTAGAGGGTACCTTCATTACCGAGGTGCACCTGGTGGCGCGGGTTGGAGGCGCCAAGCGCAAGGCTGCGAGGGCGAGCTACTGGGCGTCCGAGCTGGACGACTTCAACACTGGGTGGCGCGTCATCAACGGCACGTGCGGCGGACACTACTTCAGAGTTGGCCTTGGGGGCAAGAGGGCGTGCGAGGACCTCTCGATCCGCATGATCTGGTCGAGCGCGCTGTTCCGCGTGCGCGGCTGGACGCTGCGGGTGACCGGAGCCCACGTCTTCGACCGCGTCTCGGGCCCAACGCACTCGACCCTCGCGCTCCGTGCGCGGCCGGTTGGGACGCCCCCGCGACGCGTCCTCGGCATCCCTCTGTAGGCATCGGCTCGACCTCGCGCTCAGCGCGGCCGACGGCGCGCCCGCTCGCGACCTGCCCCACGGGGTGATTGGGCAGTCTTTCGCATTGGACCACCCGCGGCAGGGAAAGCGCGACGTGTACCCGCGGGAGGGGCGGTTTGTCACCACTGCCATGGCCGAGGGGGCGCTCGACGGGACGGCCGCTAGCTACGAGGTGGTGTCGCCGTTCGCCACCGCCTTCGCCTACACGAGATTCGATGCTCCTCAGCTCTCGCTCGCCGAATGGGCCCTCCCCTTGACGGGCGTCGCGGACGAGGCCGCGGCGAGCGATGAACTTCAATAATATGGTGCTGTGCTCTGTGCTCTGTCCTGAGCACAGACTGACCCCTCTGAGAGCGGCCTCTCTCTGAGAGCTCTGTATACCTCTCCTTCCTTTAGCTTTACGGCACGACACTCGACAGAGTCTCCAGGATCTCTCAACTATTTGATGTTGTAGCTTGTAGTAATTCAAAATGTAAACCTCCCCGCGACGCCGCCGGAGCGCGACACCCACATCTCCGGACACACATAAGTGTGTTTGCGAACCCACACACGTACTGTCACGTACTGTACTCTCACGCCGTCTCGACCGCTCTAGGGGAGACGCCCCCACACGCACAAAGATCATGGGCGACGCAGCGGTCTCATTCAGGCCGGCTCGGGCAGCAACGCCGAGCACACCAGGCACGTGATGCCGACGCCAAACAGGTCCATGATCACCTGGATAGGTAAGGTGAGGTAAGGTAAACTTCTCCACACACACACGGTGGTGGGGAAAGGGGGGGCGACCCTCGCGACTCCACGTCTACCACGTCTAGACGACAGGAGCCCCCCGCATCAAAAGTGCAAGGCCCAGTGCGCGTGGGTGGGCGGTGTGTGGCGGAGTGTGAGTGCGTGTTGTGGTGTGTGTGCTCACCTGGATAGTCGCGCCCGCGTGGGCCGGATCGATCGAGGCTCTGTGCAGCAGCAGTGGCAGCAGGGCACCGAGCACGATTGAGACGGCGACGATGGCTGCGAGCGAGGCGGCGATGGCGAGCGCGTCGTACAGAGGGTACCTACAGCGCGGGCGCCTCTCTTACTCTCCGCCTCGGAGTGGTGCCTCTGCTCTCACACACAGCAGAGCGCACACCCAAAGAGCAGCACCCTCGCGCACCCGCAGCAGGTGAGCACCAGCGCGATCTGCGCCGCGAGCCGCATCTCCGTCAGGAGGTAGGCGCCCTCCGACCCCACGTGGATCTCTCCCAGCGCGAGGCCTCGGATCACAAGCACCGCGGCCTGGTTTCCAGCATTGCCGCCTGCTCCCACGAGCATAGTCAAGAAGCTGACGATGACGGGGTGGCGTTGGAGCAGGCCCGAGTACGAGGTGAGGATGAATGAGGAGCAACTCTGGAAAAGCAGCAGCCCGACCAACATCCCAGCTCGCGGTCGCAGGGCCGTCTGCACGAGAGTCTCAGGCGCACCGCCGAGGTGCGGCCGGCGGACAGCTATTAGCGATGTTGATTCGTCGTCGTGTGGGTGAGGCTGCTTGGTTAGAGGCATCTGGCGGTAGGCGACAGCGGTGACAGCGTGGCCCTTTTGCGGTGTCTGCTCTCGATGCGACGGCGATGACAGCTGTGTGTGTGTTGATCTGTGTTGCCCGACTTTGTAACAAGAGAAAGAATTTCCGTGCCGCGGCGTCGGAGGACGCCGCCGTCGCCTAGACTCCCCTGCGTCACTACGTGCCTCCCCGTCTTTGTAGCCTGGCGTTTGTGCCCCGTTTGTGCCGCGTCCCGTGCCCCCGAGTTCATTTTACATACAAAGAATTTCCGAGGCGCGGCCCAGGGACGACGGCAACAACATACCTAAAACACGAAAACCCGAGTTCATTTAAAAGATGCCCTGCAACTATAAGCGCGTTTGCTATTCGAAATACCTGCGTTTCCTGTTTAGGAAGCGACAGCCTCCAGACACACACCTCATACACACATATGGAGCCCCTCTCTCGCCCCCCTGGCGGCGGCAGTGGCCATGGCGACGCTGACGGCGGTGGCACTCGTGGGACGTGGCGGTGACACTCATGGCCGCGGCGGCGCCTGGGCAGCAGAGAGCTGTCGCTGCAGTGCTGGCGGCAGCTGGCGGCGGCGGCTGGATGCGGCGGCTGGCGGCGGCATTGCTGGCGGCGGCCATGCGGGGGAGGCGTTGCTGTGGCGGCGATGCAGCGCTGTCCTCGCGGCTGACGTGCGCCCGGGATAGCAAGCACTGGCAGTCTGCCGGCGCGGCCGGCGCATTCGAATGCGCCCGCCGCGCCGGCAGACTGTTGGATGGCCACAGTCGCGAAAGTGGGTGAAGTCCGTGCGGCGCCGTGGCAGCGGTGGCCAGGCGGCCCCTCTCGGTGCGCCACCGCGACCGCGTTGCGCTCTCGCGCCTCGCCATGCTGCAGGCTGGACGAGGGACATTTGTCGCGACTTTCAATAGGGAAAACGCAACGCATCTTGAATATGCCTGCAGGGCATCTTTAATTTTATTATGAAATGAACTCGGGGGCACGGGACGCGGCACAAACGGGGCACAAACGCCAGGCTACAAAGATCTTTAATAATAACCCACGAGTTTGCAAAAGAAAAAACGGCAAAATGGCCGCCCAGCGCCTCGAGTGCCCCGTTTGCCTGGAGGCGACGGACGGGCCGCAGCACCAGTGCCGGGAGGGCCACGTCTTCTGCGCCTCCTGCGACTCCAACCTGCGAGCCCCGCGCCGCTGCCCCGAGTGCCGCATGGCTCTCGGACCACTGGGCCAGGCAATTCGATGCCGAAGCCACGAGGAGCGGATCGCGGCGCTGCCGGCGGCGTGTTCGCACTGCGGGCTGGCGACGACGCGCGGCGATGTCGCCGCCCACGAGCAAGGCTGCCCGCAGCGGCCGCGCGCGTGTGCCGCGGCGGAGGCTGGCTGCGCGTGGTCGGGGCTGCTGGCAGACAAGGCGGCGCACGAGGCGACGTGCCCCTTCGCGGTGTGCCAGCGCATGATGGCGCCGCTGGTGGCGGAACTGCGGGCGGAGAACGAGCGGGTGCAGGCCCAGTTGGCGCCGGTGCAAGCCCAGGTGGCGCGCTGCAGACCGAGGTGGCGGAACTGCGGGCGGAGAATGAGCGGCTGCGGTCGCGCGTGGCGGCGCTCGAGGCTGGCGAGGGCGGCGAGGAGGGAGGGCGGTGGGTGCGGCAGCGCGTGGGCGCCGCGCCCGATGGCGCGCCGCCGAGCAATGCGGCGGTACAGGCGATGGACGTGGCGGCGGCGACGGCGGTGCTGCGGGCGCATGTGTCGGTCAGCCGCGTTGCTGCTGCGGCGTGCATGCGTTTGGCTAATCTGTGCATGGAGGATCAGAACGAGCAACTTGCGGCGGAGGCGGGCGCGATCGACGCGATTGTGGCGGCGATGCAGGCTCACCCGCAGGTGGCGGGCTTGCAGAAGCAAGGCTGCTGCGCGTTGGCCAACGTGTGCTCCGGCGACGACGCCGCGGCGCTCGCACGTAAGCAGCGCGTGGCAGACGCGGGCGCGATCGAGGCGATCGTGGCGGCGCTGCAGGCTCACCCGCAGGAGGCGGGCGTGCAAGAGCAAGGCTGCCGGGCGCTGCGCAACGTGTGCTCCGGCACCGACGCCGCAGGGCTCGCACGCAGGCAGCGCGCAGCAGCCGCGGGCGCGATCGAGGCGGCTGCGGCGGCGATGCAGGCTCACCCACAGGTGGCGGGCGTGCAGGGGCAAGGACAGCGCTTGCGCGATCTGCTTGCCTGAGAGGGCCGTGCGATTGGCTGACTCTCTCTCTCAAAGCCGTTGTAGTCGAGAGAGTGGCGAGGCTTGTTTTGTTGGTCGCGTCGGTGCGATTGCAAAAGAATTTTTGAACAAACTCCCTCGCACAACACTGGCACGGGGACTGGCGCGGCGCACCCTGGCACTAAAAGTAAAACATGCTAGAAACACAGGTACACACGCCTGTGGCGCGCAGCGCAGTGTTGAGCAATCCAAAATGCAAAAAAAGAATAGTGCGTAAGAGTGCTAAGTGGAAAAATGAAGGCGCTAAAAAAAACCTGGTCGCTAAAAGAAAAAATCTGCTGCTTCTCCTCCACCTCCCTCTCCAGCGCCCCTGAACACCGCCTCCGCAATGCGCCTCACCGCGTTCTCAGTTCGCCGAGACGGGCGTCACACACTCACACGGGCGTCGCCGTGGCGGGCGTCCTGCAAAGCATCCAGCGCGCCAGCCGCTTCTGCTCCGCCTCCTGCGCCTGGCCGCTAAGTCCGCTCCGCGCGCACTCGAGCGAGGCCACTCGATCCTCGCCTCGTCCTCCAGCTCCTGCTTCCTCGCAAACACTGGCGCATCTAAATCACGTCATCACGAGCTGCCAGCCTGAACTCTGATGCAAGCATCGCAAAGAGGTACTCGCTGCAAAGCTCCCCCTTCCAAAATGAGGATTCTCTCAGTAGAGCCTCCTGGCGCATCCCAACTGCCCGCAGCAGTGTGACAGCACGCTCATTGCGTTCATCTGTCGTGGCAGTGACTCGCCGCATGCCGCGGTCCAAGAATAGGTGGCGAAGAAGCCCAGCAAGGGCTTCCTGACCGTAACCCTGCCGCCGATGCTCAGCCATCAATGTGAAGCCAACCTCCGCTTGCGAGTCGTCTTCAAAGTCGCAGAAGTGCACGGCCAGATCCCCAAGGAGTTGTCCATCCTCGCAGCGCACGATAGCCAGCTGGTGCCAGCTGCCGCATTGGCCATAGGCCGTTAAAAGCTGCGCGTCCAGGAGGCGCTGCGCATCCTGAAGAGTGTACTCCACGCCCCAGCTTTGGTATTGCGCTACTTCAGGCCTCGCGCGGTTTCGAGAGAACTCTTCCAGATCGTCTGCGCAGAGAGAGCGGACGAAGAGTCGCCGCGTTTTGAAACTGGCGGGGCGCAGTGCTGGGATGGAGCGGCCCGAGCTGTGGGCGTCCTCGCCGGGCATATACCGTTTGTGTACATGCACGCGCGATACATGCACGCGCGATCACGCCGATGCGTCGTGTTTTCTTTTTTCACGCTCTCGAGCGGAGAAAAACAAAAAGGGGATCCGTCTGGAAAAAGGAGCGCATGCTCGAGCCCCCGGCGAGGGCTTGTGCTGTGAATAGCAGGCGTGGTCTCTACTCGCCAGGGAGCAGAGCCCCTGCGAGTCCTCCCAGGCGGCGCGGTGGCGCCGCGGTGCGCCGGAACGGCGGAGAAAGAGCACTTTTCCGCCGGCGCTGGCGCACTCAGCGCCGCACCGAGGGGCGGATAGCACGATCGGCCTTCGAATCAATCCACCTAACTAGCAAAAAAAAGGCCACAACCAAAGTCGGACACCGCGTTAGCTTACTCCATCCTTGCGGACGCTCTGCCGCTCGCTCGGACCGCACAGGTACAGCGTTGGCCTTTTGCCGCAGAGGCCGTCTCTAGCTGTGAGCAGCAAACGAGATTTCATAGATCTAAGAATTCTTATCGTGTGCGAGGGAGTTTTTTCGTAAAATTCTTATCGCGTGCCTTTTGTGGTGCTAGTTCGTGCCAGTCTGCTGTGAGAGGTGCTTGGCTCGTAGAATTCGTGAGCCGGTGTGTGTGCCAGTCCGCGCCAGTCCGCGCCCTTGTCGTGCCAGTGTGCTGTGAGAGAGGCTTGTGTCGTAAGAATTCTTCTTCAGTTTGTTCTCCCCTAATCCTTTTTCTCTCTTCAAATAAAAAGAATTTGGCTGTTTTGGCACAGTCCACAGCAGGCTGGACTGCCACGTTGGCTCATTCCGACTCGCAGTGTCAATCTCATGCCGAATCCCATGTTCGACGAGATGGCCGGCTCTTGCTCGCCGGCTTCCAAACACAGGCGCAAGAAGCTCAAGAGCTGTCCGCACGAGTGCTGCTCGTCGCTGGCGGGGGCGCCGGCGTCGGAGAACGAGCAGCAGCAGACGCCTGAGCAGCCATCGCTGAGCAAGGCCGCATCCCCAAGCCCGCAACGGGCTTTGCGGCCGCTCAACCTCACCGCGAGCTTCACGCCGCCGGCTGCGACTGGCGCCATATCTGTGGCGCCTCTGCCGACGGCGCCTTCTCCTCCGCCGCCGCCGCCGTCGGCAGGCGGCGACGTGCGCTCGACGCTCGTACTCCTTCGCGATGAGGGCTACCTCCAAATCTCCGACAAGCATCTGGAGAAGGTGGTCGCGGGAGGCCGCTTCTCCGTCGAGCAGCTCCTCGACATGCACTCGCCCAACCAGCCGGGCGGCCTGCTGCAGCTCGCCGAGGGTGGCGACGCCTCGGATCACCACCACTCCATCGTCCTGTTTACGCCGACGGACTGCGACCCCGAGCTCGGCGTCCTTTCCGTTAGCTTCGTCGGCCGCTGCGCGTGCGGGGAAGGCGACCGGCAGGACCCACTGGAGTGCGCATCGGTGCTCGCCTCCCTCGCCGACGGCCTCTCCGGCAGCATCTTCTCGTCGGGCGTGGGCCTCTACCTGGACAAGGTGCGTAAGCTCGGCAGCTTCGAGGCGCTCTCGATTCTGTTGCCGGCCGTCGGCGAGCCGGCGGCGGGCACGCGCGTCAATTCGTCGGTTGGCTGCTTCGCCGCGCTGGTCACCGGCCTGCTCGAGACGCTCTCCACCGCTGCGCCGAGGCAGGCGGTCGTGCTCTCCGCGTGGAACCAGCGCAAGGTCTGCGCGCAGGTGATGACATGCACGGGTGAAACCTTCCTCCCGCTCTGCCGCGATTGCGACCTCGAGCGGTACGACAGCATCACCAAGCCGTACCTCAACCGCCTGATCGCGAGCGAGCTGCGCAACCGCGGCCTCTCCCTGCGGGGCATGGGGCTGCTTGTGCCCTTCTCCAAGCAGGGGCGGACGGTGCGCGCACACCCCACCCTGCCATCTCCCACCCGACACGCGTCGCCCATGGGCTGATCCCAAGACCCGCGCCGGCCCTCTCCATGCGCTCACTCCGCGCCTCGCCCCGTCGCAGGACAAGGCTGGCACGACCGGCGTGCTCCACCTCGACGCCGCCAAGCCGGGCGACGCGCCGCTCATGAACCTCGGCTGCGAGCAGCTCATCGTCGGCAACCTCGGCCACGTCGGCTGGCTGCTGAAGCGCGTGTTCGACAAGAGCGGCGTCATCTCGGTCGCGCACATCAAGGAGTACGCCGACGCCGCCGCCGCCGCCGTCGGCATGGCTCTCGGCCTCGGCGCGCTCGACGGCACGCGCCTGCTGCTCCACCTCCTCGCGGCGCCGCTGAACCCAGCCCTCGCGGCCACCACCGCGGCCAAGAAGAAGGCGCCGACGTTCCTCGCGCAGCTCGAGTCGAGCGCGGCCAAGGGCGAGAAGCAGGAGATGCTCAAGCTAGCCCACCAGTTCCTCGCTTTCGGCTCCTTCTCGCCCATCTTTGGCGGCAGGGGCGGGCATGTGCGCGCGCGCTTTGAGCGCAGCGCGGCCGAGGCCACCGCCGCGCTCGACGGGAGGTCGCTCACGGTCTGGTGCCCACATCAGCTCGACGAGCGGCGGGCGGCGCATCTGCGCAAGTCGCTGCCTTACGGCTCGCAGGTGCGATTCCGAGACACTTCCGAGACACTTCCGAGACACTTCCGAGACACGTCTCGACACGTCTCTCCGAATAGTAGGTGATCGTCGGCTCGCTGGAGCCGCACCTCCGCCGCCTCGGCCTCGCCCGCACCGACGTGCTAGTCGTGCCCGAGGACGTCGGGCCGTACGAGCTGCTCTCGCTCGTCAGCGCGCTCCAGCGCTCTGGCGCCGTTTGCGAGCTCGTCCTCTCGGCCGAGACGGCGCTCGCCATCCCGAGCCTCAAGCCCAATCAACGTGATTAGTCACGTCTCGCATTGTCGCACAGGCCGAGATGCTCTCAACGACGTACTTCTGCTGGCCTGTCGTCGTCGCCCCAGACGGCTGGGACCCAGCCGAGGCGGAGGAGTCGCTCCTCGTGCAAGCGGGCGAGCTGACGTACATCTCGGCCTCGCAGCTGTCGGGCCTCCTCTACACGCCCGACGTCACTCCGCCCGACACCGCGACGCTCTTCGCTCTCCGCTCGCTCGGCCCGCTGCTGCTTGACGAGGCGGCGCGGTGGGGACGGAAGCACCCAACCGTCGCGCAGGGGAGGATGTCCGAGGCGGACCGGCTGGCGGCCGGGCGCGAGCCGCGCAAGGCGCCGATGTCCGAGGCGGACCGGCTGGCGGCCGGGCGCGAGCCGAGGATGACCGAGGCGGACCGGCTGGCGGCCGGGCGCGAGCCGCGCAAGGCGCCGATGTCCGAGGCGGACCGGCTGGCGGCCGGGCGCGAGCCGCGCAAGGCGCCGATGTCCGAGGCGGACCGGCTGGCGGCCGGGCGCGAGCCGCGCAAGGCGCGGATGTCCGAGGCGGACCGGCTGGCGGCCGGGCGCGAGCCGCGCAAGGCGCCGATGTCCGAGGCGGACCGGCTGGCGGCCGGGCGCGAGCCGCGCAAGGCGCGGATGTCCGAGGCGGACCGGCTGGCGGCCGGGCGCGAGCCGCGGGCTGCGCGCAAGCCGACGCAGTCGGATCCGGCTACCGCACGCTACATCTGCCCCGAGTGCGACAAGCCGGGCGAGGCGCTCGTGCTGCGAGTACGCCAAGGTGGCGAGTACAACAAAGTGCAGGTGCGTGCCGACCACGCCGCTTGCACTGCCGGGGGCTCGTCGAGGCGCCCGTCCTGCTGGGCCATTCGCGACGGTTGCTTCACCTTCGTGGGCATGACGGGGCACCACCTCGTCCCGCTCACGCGCCTTTCGCGTCCGTCCGACGGTGCGGAGGCTGCGGCCGCCAAGCAGTTGTCTTTTCGGGTGGCGACGCGAGTTCCATGATCACGTCTGGTCCAACCACACGATCGTTCGCTATAGGCATTGCGTCGACAATTGCCGGCACGGCCGCTCGGATGTGGGCTCCGTCATGATCGCGTGCGACGGGTGCGACGACTGGTTCCACCCGGCTTGCGTCGGCATGACCATTAAGCAGGCCGCCGCACTAAAGTCCTACGTGTGCGGCCAGTGCCAGCTGTGAGGCACTGTGCCTCGCGCCTTGCGCTGCTGGAAGGAAGCTCTCGGTAGCTGCCTAAGCGTCCGGAGTGGAGCCGTCGAGAGCGCGGCCATTGATCCGAGACGCTTCCTGTGTGAAGGCCGGCTTGTGGAAGCAGCACCACACCTGTGCATCCGACACCGTCCATGTAACATGCGCGAGACAGAGGAGGGCTCGTAGCGAGCGGGCCGCCAGCAGCAACACCGCGCGGGCGGCCAAGCTCTTTTCACAGCGCGAAGTGTGAACAGCTCCACGAATACGTCATCCCCACTCATGAAGCGCGAGGTTCTTGAGCCTTCACGGAGGTTTCGTGTTCATTTTTTTTGCTGGATTCCGCGGGATTTCTTGCCTTCAAGCCGCTTGCTCTCGATTGCTCTCCAGCCGACTGGCTGACAATGGAGCTCCACCTCTCCGGCGAACGCAAGTACAAATCAAGCTTTTTTTTTGCCGCGTGCCGTGTGCGTGAGTTGCCGACTGCACTGCTGCACTCCAAGTTTTAGGTATATTGTTGGCAAGTCAAGACACAGAGCTCACACAGAATCACAGCGGGAGGAAAGGGGCGAGTCGCAATTCCAGGGGTCGTTGTGGCGGGCCACCCTGTCCAGAGAGGCACATGGATGCCAATCTGGGGTCTCTCGATCGAGTCTATGCACTCCAAGTGCTCCAAGAGAGTGGCTTTGGTTTGCGCCTCGTTCCCTCTGGATGTCCTGGATTTCTTCCGGCTCTGCCCATCAACACTAACGTATTCGTAACTCACTTCTCTCCTGCCGGTGTGTCTGGTGCTCGCGCGACGTGGCACTCCGAGGTCGACGATACCGTTCCCGGCTCGCCGACGCCCACGCTGCTGCTCGGCGTCGGCTCGGGGCCACTCGGCTCGGGCTGCTGCTCCTCGGTGCGGGCGCCGCTGTCACCGGCACCGGCACCGGCAGCAGCGGCGGAGAGCAGCCTCCGCTCGAGCTCGTTTGCTGCCTGTGGGGGCGCCTGCGGGTCGAGCGGGGCGCGGCGGCGCGGCGGCGACTTGGCCCCCTGCTGCGCGCGCTGTAAGAGGCCGTCCACCTGCACCAGACGCGGCGGCGGGGGGAGGTGCTTCTTATCGCGCGGCGCCTCTCAGTCAAAATGCTCGCCGCCTTGGAGTTGACGCTGGCGGCGCCGACCCCGGCCCTCAACTGCAACGCTGATCCCGGCCCAAGCTGCGGCGACCCGATCCTGCTCTGCTACGCCGACGATCGCTGCACCAGCACCGAGGACCCCACCTTTGGCCTCGGCTGCGCCGCGGCTGGCATCCAGCGCTGCCGCTTCTGCGTGGCCGGCTCGCGCCTACGAGAGGGGCAGAGGCCGCCCCGCGTCGCGATCGACCCGCGCGACCGCTTCCTACCCTGCCGCTACCCGTCGCCTCCGCCTCCGCCGCCGCCGCCGCCGCCCTCGCCACGCCCGTCGCCGCCGCCGCCGCCGCCGGATCCTCCGGGCAGGCCGCCACCGCCGAGCCCGTCGCCGCCGCCGCCGCGGCCGCACCCGCCGCCGTGGGCGCCCCTGCCCCTCTTCGTCGCCACGGACGCGCCTCCCGGCGCAGCCGAAGGCGCGGTCACAGCCTCCCTGCTCGGCCGGCTACTGCTCGCACTGCTCCTCCCGGCCGGCCTGGTCTTTGCGGCGGTGCAGCTGGCGACGGGGCGCGCGGGCAGGCTGCAGACTCTGCTCGGCGGCGTCTCCCTCAGCTCCTTTGCCAGGCGCCTCCCTCCCTCCCTGCCCCCGTCTCTCTCTCTCTCTCTCTCTCTCTCTCTCTCTGTCTCGCTCTCGCTCGCTCTCTCTTCTCTCTCTCCCTCTCGCTCTCCCTCTCCCTCCACCTCTCCCTCCCTCTCCCTCCCTCTCCCTTTTCCTCTGCCTCACCCCCTCACCCCCT